CAGGTGGATCGTAGTGTACTAATAATCTCCTATCTTACATTTATAGATGCTTGTAAATAATATGTGTTATATAGCGGGTCTTCTACGACATCTTGTAAGAGTTCGTATCTGCTATAGTTCCCTTCTGTATTTACCCTGCAGATGACACATCGGGTGTACGACAGCTCTTCTATAATGACTTGTAGATATTTTGCACTTGTCGTATCTCATTTGCTTCTGCTTGCAAATAGCATGTGGTATGTATAACGAGTACTCTACAACCTTTGGATATTTGTACTTCATTATGTATCTTCTATCCTTGCTTATAAAGGGCTGGTGCATTTGACTGATGTTGGATAATTATCGACCATGGAGATGTTATAGTGTCTTTGCCACAACAAGTGGTAGGTACCTTGAATGTGCTACGGACATGATGTCTCTTTCACCATTCTTCATGTACTTGATTGTAAACATGTCTTCTATACTCATTCGTGGACAAGTTGCATTGTCTTATACTATTTATACTTTTCGTTAGTGTCCCTAGGTGGGCGTAGAAAAGATTACTACAATCTTCTTACATGCCCTTATCAATTTCATTGCTTGCAAGCTTGGGTACATTTGATTGCATGAGTCTTCATCATCATTTATGAGTAAATGATGTTCGTAGATTCTATAGTCATTGCAAGTCTTCCTTTCTACCACAAATTCCATATGTATTCCTGTGATAGCATCTTGATGTTGATTGAAGACTTTGCCATGTTGATTGTGAGCATGCCATATTGAAATTCCTTTTTCATTCAATACAAATTCTATGTTTATTTATTTGTATTCAATTATGAGCTCATCACTTGCATGTTATTCATGAGCATGTATATCTTTATACCTGTTGCAACTATCCATTCCTTTCCATTAGCATGAATATTGTGAGTGTTTCATACTAGTTACCACCATTTATGGACGACTTGCAATGTTCATTGAAGATTCTATGTATTTACTTGCTTATAGTTGACCAACATTATCACTTTGATTTTAGTACTTTCGTTTTGATCTTATATTTGTCAATTCTAAAGTTCAATTCCATGTGGTCTTGAAAGTTCAAGTCTTGTTGTCTAAATCAAGTTCTTGCTTGAGTTCAAGTAGCAAGCTCAAGTTCTATGTCCCCTGCTGTCCAAATGTTGTTCAAATTCTGTTCAAATCTGAGTCCGAGTTCAAATTCAAGTTCTTTGTAGCCCAACTCAAGTATTTGCTTGAGTTCAAATGTTCAATTCATGTCCTTGTTATTTTGCAAGTTCACTTGAGTTCAATTCTGTCTAAAGTACAAGTTTCAAGTTCTAGCAATCTTTATGTTTGCGTCGCTTAAGTCATTTGTTGCAAGTCCAAGTTCTTGTTCTTTTGAGTTCAAACAGGTCTGATTACAGTATGTTTTCATCCAAAATTTCGGCAGCCTCCCGGCATCTCTCGCCGTTTAGGGGAAAACTACGGAAAAACTGGGCCTTTCCCACCACGCGCAATAAAGGCGTGCATGGTAGCTGTCCTCGGACTAGGACACCGCGGCCGTGATCTTTCTTCCCACCACGCGCATAAAGGCGTGCATGGGGTCTTTGACGTACTTGTTTAAAAAAGATAGTTTGCTTTCCCCCGCTCGGGGTACTTATGAGTGACCCGCCTCGCCGTAGGTGCCGCACCCGAGGTCCCATCCCATCACGCCAATAAAGGCGTGCATGGGTGGTTTTCCGGTCGGCCACGAACATTGAAGTAGGGGTTTTAGGTGATTACTCGCCTTGTCGTAGGCGCCGCACCGGGGTCCCATCCCACCGCGCGCAATAAAGGCGTGCATGAGCGATTTTAGTTAGTAGCAAACTTTGAGAACGAGAAATTGAGTTTTGGAAAATTCGTACCTTCGCGGGTTGCCGGTGTTGGTACGTGGATCGAGGGAAGGAGAGGGGAGCACTTTTTTAATTATAGTTAATTATAATTAATTAATCAATAATAATCAATTATAATTAATTAACAATTAATTAATTACAATTATAATTAATAAATAACTAATTATAAATAATAATGATTAATTATAATCAGTAATCATTAATTGATTATAATTAATTCATTAATTACAATTATAATTAATTAATAATTAATATAATTAACAAATAATTATAATTAATCATTGATTAACCATATTTATTAGTTAACTATACTTAATTAATAATTAATTATAATTAAATTATTAACTATAATTAATTATAAATACTAATTATATAATGAAAAAAAAAATCCCTCCTTTCCCCTTTCATTCTCTGTTTGGCATTTTCACGGGATTTGGCCAAAAAAAGCGGACGAAAGGGAGAAGTTACCTTCACACCTAGCGAGCTTCTGTTATTACCCAATCAGGAATGTCGTGACTTCCGAACCGAGAGGCACTGGAGGTCTTCGAAGGAGCAAAGTCGGCGGAGGGGGAGGCAAGGTAGGGCAAAGTTTAGGAGCTCTTTCTTCTCCTCTCTCTCTCTCTCTCTCTCTCTCTCTCTCTTCTCTCTCTCTGGGCCGAAGAAGCGACAGGTCGGGATGGGGTCGTCGGCTCCAATGGAGATCGGGAGTGACGATGGAAGCAAGGTCGTGGGTTCTGACCTTGGAAGATCGTGGGAGGAAAGGGGTCAGAAGCTTGCAGGGATTCGCGTGTGGGAAGAGCAGAAGGAGCAGCCCCTTGGCTTCAACCCGATTCGTATTAAACGACGCAGTTGGGGTACGTTCGAGGTTGGGATTCGCAAGATTCATGGGAGGCGATGTGAGAGCGACGAAGGAACAGTGCCTCGGCGGGATTTCTGCGATTTTTGCGGGTTCGACAGAGGTAATGCATTTTTTTTTCATAACAGAGGTTAACATGAGGACGAAATCTCTGGATAGTGTCTTATCTAAAACCCAATATGCCAAACTAAGCTCGTTGGATCTCTCGCTGTCACAACAAGAAAAGTGTTGGTGCGGAGAGACCAGAACGCGTAGAATTTTCAGAGCCCACTCATAGTCAAACTTATTCCACCTCATGATAGAATCTTGTTCGACCATATTTGAATTTCTCACTCAAACTTTGATTGAACATTGTTTAAAACATGATCAAACCCTTGTTCTAGCAGGTTCCAAATTTGATCAGACTTTATGCTACTGTGTTAAACCTTAATTGAAGCTTTTGTTCAAAACTTTGTCATATATTATTATGTTTGGACAAGATTGTTTGAATAAGTTTTATCAATATCATATAATGTGATGTCTAATGCCATTATGGGTTTAGGTTTAGAGTGAGAATGTCATTTTCAAACCTATAAGCAAGCATATAACTTTGCTAAACTTGAACAGCTAGCTGGAGACTAGTTAACACGTGAATGACACTAGTACGATGGGGAAGGCGTTGGAAGAGAATGTGTCGAGATATATATATATATATATATATATATATTATATATATATATATATATATGCTCGTTTGAATCATATTTTGGTCATTTTTAATGTTATTGGTTTTTCATAGATATTATTACTTTGACATTGATTTTTGTTGAATTGGTGTTAGGATGTTCCTAAATTTAATTCTAGAAGTTTCCAACTCAAATATTGCCTAAAGATTTGTGCTGATCAAATAATTTTATCATAGACATATCAATATATAAATACAATATGTGTTAAGTAAGCTATTAATTAAAGTCTATTTTCTTAATTGATTTATTTTGTAAGATGTATTCTATTAGTTAATAAATGTTAATTATTAATTGGTGTGATGCTTAATTAGATTCACTATAGTTTATCTAAATTTAAATTAATTTAATACTTATTATATCAAATCTCTTTCAAAATTTTACACTAATTGAAAGATTCAGAAAGTAATTTAATTATTATCATATTTATTAAATCCTACTAAGTTAAATCATACTCGCAGCCTAACAATAAATCTTACTTTAGATAAATCTTAATTGCAGCCTAACAATTCCTTGTAAGAAAATTGATGGTAAGTTGGAAAACGTGAATTTTATTTTCAGAATTTTTCGTTTTCAATGAAGACCCAAAATTAACTTGAGTTTTCAGTAAAAACATCAAAACGCAAATTAATTTTTCATTTTCACTAAAAATACAAATAAATTTTACATTTTTGCTCCTTGTTCGATTATATTTTAATTTTTTTTTTGTATAATTATATATAAATAATGCTCCTTTTTAGAATTTAACCAGAAATAGGAGTACAATGTTACATAAAGAAAATTAATATAAAGATTTGCGACGGTATGATTAATCATAATGGCAACAAAAGGGATGCATATTTTGAAAATGTGTGAAATTTAGCTTTATAAATCAAGTGACTGCCTTTTATTTGAGTTAAAATAATATGTATGCAAACAATTTAGCTTATAGAGTTATTGGGAGAAAAATTTAGGACAATAACTTCTGTCCGTACAAATTATATTTTTCCTTATTTGGCTGCAACATACCATAATAATGCGTGATATAATGTTGCATACTAACATATTTTGTCTTGATGTAATTGAATTTCAGGTATTTGCATGATAATTGTGCTCCTAATTTTTATTACAATGTTGAATTAAATTGCTCTCCCCATGAAAATGCACGTGGCAATTTTCTACTGGAAAAGTTAATGCCATATACTGGTTAAAATATTTGATTTTGTACTTATGTTTTTCAGAATATGATCAAAATGCCCCTTGACTTTTTATGAGTGCCAAAATGATTCTCAATTATATTAAAGGATCATTTTGGTCCCTCAACTCTTTAAATAGGAACCAAAATAATCTCACCATGGATTATTTTGGTTCCTCTTTAAAGACTTGAGGTATCAAAATTGTTATTTAATATAGTTGAAGACCATTTTGAGCTTTTCATAAAGAGTCAAGGGATCATTTTGATTTAAAAAAATAAAAAAATAAAATAAAAAAAATAAAAAAGCACCATTTTGATTTTTTTTCTTTTATGTTTTTATTCATTAGGAGTTAGAATTTAATTGAAATAAGCATTTGTGTTAGGAAACAATGGCAAGGAGACCTGCTGACCCAGAAGAGGAACTTAGATGGATGTCTCAAGAGGTCCGTGGTTATGTGGAAGCTGTTTTGAACAGCCTTGCTGCGAATGTTCCCAAGGTAAATATTCTTCACAAGATTAACCGCCTGAGCAGAATATCTTCTGTATTTTTTCAGTTTTATAATATCTCGGTTGATTGAGCAGGCTGTTGTGCTATGTCAAGTGGAAAAGGCAAAGGAAGACATGCTGAATCAATTATATAGCTCAGTGAGGTTGGTTTGTTGATTCCCATGCACGCATTGTATGAATACAAGAAACTTATATAACCTAGATGCATCAATTTTTTGTTTCTTTGGCAACATTAATTTTTTACTGTTGTTCATTATCAATTTTATGTATTTATCCAAATTATTATTTTCAACACCTTCCAACTCTTTTCGAGTTCTTATATCTTTATTGACTTGAATCTTTATCTTTTCATGATCTCCACATATCACAACCCTTTTTAAATAGATCTTAACATGATGATTTATGAAACTATTTATAGCTGGTTAAAAGAATTTGCTAATCTCCTTTTAAAAGTTTGGAATGGTCTCCCAAGCTGCCACATGTGCCATTTGGAATTTAACATAGAAATTCAATTACTTAGTAGCTTGAAATTTGAGTTTACTGTGGGCTCTGAAAATTCGGCCCCGACCTCTGCTCGCTCTTTTCTTTTCTATTCGGCGAGGGAGTTTTAACTAAATAAGTTCCG